TTTTACGTTGATTTTTTTATCTCTTTCCAGCATAAGTTCTTTTTTTACAATTTCATTTCCAACATAGCTGTAATCTCAGACGTTAAGACTTGCTTTCTGAAGGGGGTTTTTTTGGTCTGTGATTTGTCAGTATTTATTTGAAAAAAAAAAAAAAACCTGAAAAACTACTCAAACAAATGATCCCTTTTTTAAAAATTCTTTAGTTCCAAAGATCTAATGAAGAGTGGAGTAGAAGTACCAAGAAAAAAAGCTATCGAAGTTTTATTTTTTCAAGGGAAAAGCAAATTCTGTTGGTTTTTAGCTAAATTTTTGAATGTTTGTCTAAGTTAGCCAAATTTTCTTTTACATAGCAACTGTTTTATGGATTATTCACTGGTGATGAGAAGAGGAGGAGGGAAGTATAAGTTTGATTAAACTGACGTTACTTTTTTAAAGAATTTTTGCTTTTTTTTTTTTTTTTTTTTTTGTCTTAATTGGACCAAATTATTGTACTTATTGTTTTAATCACTTACATTATTTTTTTCTTACCTGATATTTCGATAAATCGATTTTTAGGTTTATCTCTTGAAACATTTAGCACATTTTTTGTTACATTGTTCTTGCGTGTGTGTGTGTGTGTGTGTGTGTGTGTGTGTGTGTGGTGAGTGTGTATGTGTGACTGTTTTGCACAATAAATCATCGTAGTTATCGGTAGGTATTTGAACGCTTTTTAATGTTTTTTTTTAGTCTTCTAATTACAATAAATTACTGACTGCTGTCTATAAATATAGAAATGAAGCTTGATTTTTTATTGATTTTACCTGATTTTGCTATTATCAAAAAAAAAAATGTGTTTTTTCTCAGAAAAAGCAAATGTATGTTGTTCAAGTAAAGATTCTTTTTAGGTAAATAGACAAGAATAATGCTACCATCTTTATACGGACAGCTAGCCGGTACCGGGACTATTACAGATCCTATAGTTCAGGCAGCTGCTGCAGCACTTGCTGCTCAAGCCGCTTCAGAGCCGATTATTGGTTCAGGTTTTTGCTTTTAATCTTTTTTTATTTTTTTTTTCTGATAAACAAATACTTTTGGTCGGAAGAAGAGAATAAATAAATAAAAATAATGTCATTTAAATGACTGCTTTGTTTTCATTCATTTTTTTTTCTGTTTCGTTTTTTTTTTCTTATTTATTTATTTATTTATTTATTTTTATTTTTTTGGGAATTATGTTCGACGGTTAGCAAATAACGAATGAATGTTAGTTAGATGACTATGATGATGAGTGCTTTAATAATGCTTAGTTAAGACTAACTAACACTTTTTGGTGATGACCAGCATTACTGCATCAACAGGCAGAAACAGTAGTAACAGCAGGAGCAGCAAAAGAAACGCGAGAAAAGAAACTAGACTAAATTTTAGCTGCATTTCTAGTCATTAAATTAGCACCTGGATTAAAAAAAAAACCTGTCAATAACGTTACTCTGTAAACTGATCGTTTTCCACTGTAACTAGAGATAACCTGATTCAGCAGCTTTTCTTCTGAATGGTTTTTTTTTTCTTCACTTTGGCGTAAGATGAGCCAACAAAATTTGTTCTACTGGTTTATTGAGATTGATTGTTTGCTGTTAAAATTTTACGACCACTTTTCTTCTTCGGTATCCAACATTATCGCTAACTTGTTTTTTTTTTGTATGTTCCAGGATCAAAAGATACCACATTTACAAAAATTTTTGTCGGCGGTCTTCCTTATCACACAACTGACAAAACGTTGCATGAATATTTTGAGCAGTTTGGTGAAATTGAAGAAGCTGTGGTCATAACAGATCGTCAAACACAAAAGAGTAGAGGATATGGATTTGTATGGTTTGAAAAATAACGAATAACAGAATTATGTTGTTGTATATGTTGCATAGAAGTAACAAACAGATATAAGTATTTTTGAGAGCAAAAAGAAAAGGAAAAATTTATTAGTCAAAAATGAAGAAACTGTTTGATTGCTCGTTTGTTCTGTTTTGTTTGACTGTTTGGTTGTTTGTATGATTTTTTTTTTTTTTTT